GATAAGAAAACTGAATACTTTTTAAATAAGTAATCAATTCAAAATATAAGTAACCTACAGGACAGGAAGCAAGAGCCCAGAAACAACCAAAATGTTTAACTACTAATTTATTGATTTATTTTACATTAGATTAAACAATGTATGTCAAACTGAACTGACTAAAAGGTTAGATAGATTCAGTCACCCAAACCAATGTACAAACTTTATACTTTACAAATCATTGTAAATCTGGTACGATGAAATAGATAAAACTTGACCTTTTCCATCACTGTAGGTGTTTCATATTCATCTCTCCATTGCAGTTATTGCAGGGTTTTTTTCTTAGAGAATGGGTTTTTTTTCTCGCTTAGATGTTTCGAGCTCTTGCCAGAAAGTAGTAGTTGTATATTTTTTATTTTTTCCTCCAAGGATTGAGTCTTGTGAATACTTTTCTTCTTAAAAAGATGATACAGCCTTCAGTCCTCCACAGGCTTCCAGCTCTAATTCTAGTGCAGTCAGTCAGTCCGGTTATTTTGAAAGCTTCCTCACTACCTGACTGTAAGTGTTACTGCCAGGGACTTACTGTTGCAGTTAGCCCTCAAATATATGCAGCACAGAGTTGCTAAAAGCAATGAAAAAAATCGTAGGAATTTGCTGGCTGAAGAATGGATGGGTAAGATATATAAAGCTGAAAAGTTCTTGCTCTGTCAGAAGCAGGTCATGACTGTGTGTAGTGCAGAGTGAAAAAGCCAAGTTAGAAGCACTGAAACTGTTATTTTCTCATCAGTATTCTCTTTAACACTAGAAAGGCCAAGCCATCAGCAGTTGGTAGCTGCTATGAATTAGACATTAAATCTCTCAGCAGTTAAATGACCCTTCATGACTTTTCCTCAACGTTATAAACAGTCATTCTTACATTTTACAAATCATGCAAGAAAGACACACCCTGTAATTCTACTTGCCTTCAAAGAGTTACAATTTCACAACCTTCTCTTTGTCCTCCTAAAACTCACTCGATACCTTAACTCCTAGCATTGGATGTAAAGTATTCTACTATCCATTTGTAAAGTATTCAGCCAAAGACAAGCCTGGTGTATTTTACTCATTATCTACAAATCCTATAAAAAGACCAAAACTGAGTTGATCCTCCTAAGGGTCCATGCAGCTAAAACCTGATATGTCTCATTTATCTGTGCCATAGCGCCATTATTTAAAAATACACTGCTCAAAAAATAAAGGGAACACTAAAATAACACATCCTAGATCTGAATGAATGAAATAATCTCATTACTCCTTTCTTTACATAGTTGAATGTGCTGACAACAAAATCACATAAAAATTATCAATGGAAATGAAATTTATCAACCCATGGAGGTCTGGATTTGGAGTCACACTTAAAATCAAAGTGGAAAACCACACTACAGGCCGATCCAACTTTCATGTAATGTCCTTAAAACAAGTCAAAATGAGGCTCAGTAGTGTGTGTGGCCTCCCTACAACGCCTGGGCATGCTCCTGATGAGGTGGCGGATGGTCTCCTGAGGGATCTCCTCCCAGACCTGGACTAAAGCAGGATGGAGCGAGATATGATGTCCCAGATGTGCTCAATTGGATTCAGGTCTGGGGAACGGGCGGGCCAGTCCATAGCATCAATGCCTTCCTCTTGCAGGAACTGCTGACACACTCCAGCCACATGAGGTCTAGCATTGTCTTGCATTAGGAGGAACCCAGGGCCAACCGCACCAGCATATGGTCTCATAAAGGGTCTGAGGATCTCATCTCGGTACCTAATGGCAGTCAGGCTACCTCTGGCGAGCACATGGAGGGCTGTGCGGCCCCCCAAAGAAATGCCACCCCACACCATTACTGACCCACCGCCAAACCGGTCATGCTGGAGGATGTTGCAGGCAGTAGAACGTTCTCCACGGCGTCTCCAGACTCTGTCACGTCTGTCACATGCTCCGTGTGAACCTGCTTTCATCTGTGAAGAGCACAGGGCGCCAGTGGCGAATTTGCCAATCTTGGTGTTCTCTGGCAAATGCCAAACGTCCTGCACGGTGTTGGGCTGTAAGCACAACCCCCACCTGTGGACGTCGGGCCCTCATACCACCCTCATGGAGTCTGTTTCTGACTGTTTGAGCAGACACATGCACATTTGTGGCCTGCTGGAGGTCATTTTGCAGGGCTCTGGCAGTGCTCCTCCTGCTCCTCCTTGCACAAAGGCGGAGGTAGCGGTCTTGCTGCTGGGTTGTTGCCCTCCTACGGCCTGATGTACTGGCCTGTCTCCTGGTAGCGCCTCCATGCTCTGGACACTATGCTGACAGACACAGCAAACCTTCTTGCCACAGCTCGCATTGATGTGCCATCCTGGATGAGCTGCACTACCTGAGCCACTTGTGTGGGTTGTAGACTTGTTCTCATGCTACCACTAGAGTGAAAGCACCCCCAGCATTCAAAAGTGACAGAAACATCAGCCAGGAAGCATAGGAACTGAAAAGTGGTCTGTGGTCACCACCTGCACATCAATGCACTCCTTTATTGGGGGTGTCTTGCTAATTGCCTATAATTTCTACCTGTTGATTCCATTTGCACAACAGCATGTGAAATTGATTGTCAATCAATATATCAACATGAATTTTATTTATATAGCACCAATCAGTGTTGCTTCCTAAGTGGACAGTTTGATTTCACAGGAGTGTGATTGACTTGGAGTTACATTGTGTGTTTGAGCAGTGTATATCAAGTGGCACAGTTAAAATTTTGCTCAGTCTTCATAGGTGGACGGTAATTCAAACAATTTATTATGTGAAAATAAAGAAAATTGGTTTTCAGCCCCTTTTAAGAAAGCCAGTGTAGTATTGCCTGATTCAGATTAGAAAAACAAAAATGTGACTCTGTTCACTGTTTCTAGAGAGTCAATAGCAAAAAAAAGACATTGATAAAGACAAATTTCTGCTGATCATAAGGTTTAAAGGCTCTGGCTAAGACTCAAAGCAGGGGGTCCTGAGGCATCTTAATCCATGCCTGGATGTTGCTGCAGTAATGGATATGTGGTGTTACCAGGCCTGCATGTTGTCAATCACTGCACTAAAAGGACATTCCTTTTTTGTATTAATGCAGATGAAGATAAAAACCAAGAAGAAGGAAAAACTTTTTTACCCTTTAAGTTGTATTCCTTTGTATTTGTATTCCACATTGTATTTGCCTACAGCAGTGAGCGGGCACTCTGCTTTTCACAACACTCGCAGTTTGTCAGTAATAAAATATTTGTATATTGCTTATAATTAAAGTAGAACTTACTACAAAACTTTCCAGGGTAATCATATGAAAGAGCAGCAAAACCCTGCACACCCAAGGCAGTCATCCCGAGTTACATTTTGCAGTTCCATCTACTGTGACCCAATTACTGTACCTATATTTTGCATTCGCTGTCTTCTGCTTTGCCACTATGGTGAACACCACAGGCTGTTTGGCCCACTGTCGCAGTAGCATGTTCTTGTAAACAAATTGAATTTATGTAACCTTGCTGACGGGTTGGAACTGCAGAGTCCAGGCTGGCTGGTGAACGTGGCATTACCAATGTTTGGAGCCCAGTGGAAACACAGTTATTATGGCCAGAAAGAGTGAACTCACCGCCTACAGTGGCAGCCAGCTTGTTTTGTTATATGGATGATGAAGTTGATGTATGGGCCCCTTGTATGCGCAGAACAGGCACAGTCTTGCTGCCAAGTGATGAATAGCATCAATACTGTGGGCTATTGGAAAAGACCGGGGCACACAAGATCTCATCTCAACTCCTCTTTTCCATTTTCTCCTTTTTCTATTTTGGCACATCTCAAATAAATTGTATTGTTTTCCTTTTTTGTCCTTCCCTTCCTTCCTTCCATCCATGTCCGTCTATTTATAGACTCCACTCCTTTTGTGTAACTTTTAATGAGCTAAAAGGTATGCAATGGTGCACAGGAAACACTTGACAAAGCACTTTTGAAAGATTAAGGCTGACTAACAGCACAGCGGTGTCTAGTTGGCTTTGTCTCGCCCATTTTCTTTCTCTGCATCTGTCCACCCGAGCAAGAGGCTGCGGGAATGAGTATTGCAATAGAGGTGAGATTAGAATCGGATGTGAATTGGGCTGCAGATTGGTTTGTAGACTGAAAATGGAAGATGGGGTGGAAGCAGAGGGAAGACCGGGGGACAGATGAACAATGAGAGAGAAGGTCACAAAAAAAAGCCAGTGTGAGAGGATAGTAGTGCCGCTGGTGGGCTGAAGGATAAGAATGATTGAGTAGCAAAATTTGCTCTGATATTTGCATGGAAAATAACTTTATAATGGCTCTAGATTTTCTCCTTACCTCTTTAGTCATGTAATTTTAAGTAATGGCATCTTTTCTCTTGGAGTGCCCAGTGTCGGCTTTGAAAGCCACCAGCTGGTCTCTGTTTTAGGTCGACCATCAAAGCACTCAAGGTGTTATGAGGCTTTCATTCTACATTTCATGTCATTAGTCACCTCTAAGTGGATTTAATGAGAAATTACCCATTATAGTAGCCAAAACTGGTTTTGCCACTGAAGAAGGAGCACACTAATCCCTCCTAATGATTTATGATAATCATCTGAGCCTGAAACCTGTGGACTACTCATGGGTGTCTAAGGCGGCTTATCCATAAAACTTATATTGATGGATGATGATCTGGCATCTTAAGATTTTATTCTTTAGACACATCTCTCCGCAAGTGTACTTGGGTTGCAGCATCCCAAAATCATGAACTGTTTGATAGTACTTGTAGTTTGTTGACTGCACTCCATTTTCCATTGTTTGGTGTCAAATTATTTCCAAGCAGAGGGCTCTATTGATTATTTGTTGCACCAGGTGTCAGAGAGACAGTTCACATAAAACTTTCATGCGGTCTGCTTTTCTTTTTGCCTCAATAGGAGTTAGTGTTTGGGTGTTAACTCTCACAAAGGGACCCTATTGATTCTTGCATTGATTTTCAACTGTGCTTTCCTCTTTTTCTCCATCACAGTGGCAAACATTTTGTGGCGAGAAGAAGGTACGTCTAGACTGCTTCTGCTTCACTATAGCATTCATTAAACTAAGTTAATTAAATTTTTGTAATAAGGTTACTGAACTGTGATGATGGGGATTAAATGATTTAATGCTTTGAAACTAGATAGCAATATTGTAGGCTTATTTCTGTTGAAATGTTCACACTGTGCAGTCTCGTAAGCTATTTTAGGAATGTACTGTAACGTGACTGTTTTTGCTTTCTTTCCAGGTCTTGGCATTGGTAACATGTTCTATGTGTTCTATGAAGATGGGATCAAAGTTATTCAGCCAGTAGCATGTGAGATACAACGCCACATTAAGCCCAGTGAGAAGCTGCTAGCACTGCAGGTGAGTGATCAGGCAAAACAAACATTTTTGTATTGATTCATTCTGGACTAGAGCTGGACTGGACCATCCCAGTCATCTGTGAGTTGAAGCTGTGAGTAGGAGCAATTGGACCTGACTTACAGATCATTCCTACATTCCTATTTGACAGTTTTTCTTTTAATATTATCTTAATATTATCTATGTAAAACACAGCGGCCATCTGGATAATTTAACAATAATATACATTTATGTTTTGGTCATCAAGCTTCATTATTTCAAGCCATGTACTAATCAATCAGAATAGTTTACTATGATACAATACCCATGATCCTCAGCTGTTTATTGCTATGGAGAAGAATCCGGTTATATGCTCATAATCACAGCTGTGATGTGTTTTACAAAAATGCTACTCGGGAGTCATAGCTGACAGTTTGGTTGGATTAACAACGGATCAGCAGACAGAAACAGTTTGCAACCAGCTGGTGACAAGCAGTTTAAGCCATGCATTTTTATTTGTGAATAATTGTGAACATGTTCGCCATTAAAACTATGTCAATGTTCTGTTGCCCCCAAATTGCTAAAAAATCTATTAGTTGATTTGAATTTGACTTTTGTAGTTTGCTTATGTTTTCATTATCCAACCTGAACAGTTTCATGTGATGTCAAGCCTTAGAACTACAACTGGCAGTCACCTAACATTGTCTAGTTAGACAATTAAATGCACTTTCATTCTAAAACCCTGAACCACTGAAAATATTCCTCAAGGCTTTGACCCTCGGACTATCCTGGCAAATTCAGACCAGCATTTGTAATTTAATCTGTACCAAACAACCAGAGTGCAAAACACATGCACATATTTCTTGTCCAGATGTCCAAAAACTGTAATGAGTTATGCCTGCCAAGGACTTGTAACACTTTCCCTATAAATTTTCTATTTTATTGAGTAGAAAATCTTGTCAAGGAACCATATAATGTGTAATGTGTGACAATATCAGTGTAAAGGGGAAGCTAATCATTGGCAAGCATAAATCAAAAACGGTACATTCTCCAACATGAAGCAATAAATAATAAAACATTTATGATGTAAATATTTTTACAGTGAACCCCTGTGGGTAAATTGGAAAGTGTTTGTGTTTTGGAATGAAAAATGTGATTTATTACTCCCTGGCCTTGACAAGCAACACAATCAATCCTGTTTCCTGAACTAGTAGCAGCTACCATAACAGTTAAATCAGTCATTAGCAGTCAATATAGTTTGAACTGGGATTTAACTGAGATTCTTTTTCAAATGCAGATAAAGGTTCAGTGTCCCGCTCAAGAAAAGGCTTTGCTGTTGCGCTTGTAAATTTGAAGGACACTGCCGAAGTGCACACAGATTTATATGTCCTACCTAGAGCACCTGCAAGATAAATAGTGACGCCATCTCCTGTCAGTTGCAGGTTTTCCTACTTACAAAGAATGTAGAGGTCTGTAATTTTTATCATAGGTACACTTCAACTGTGAGAGACGGAATCTAAAATCCAGAAAATCACATTTTATGATTTTTAAATAATTAATTTGCATTTTATTGCATGACATAAGTATTTGATACATCAGAAAAGCAGAACTAGAACTGTGTTTCAGGTCGTTGTCATGCTGGAAGACCCAGCCACAACCCATCTTCAGTGCTCTTACTGAGGGAAGGAGGTTGTTGGCCAAGATCTCGCGATACATGGCCCCATCCATCCTCCCCTCAATACGATGCAGTCGTCCTGTCCCCTTTACAGAAAAGCATCCCCAAAGAATGATGTTTCCACCTCCATGCTTCACGGTTGGGATGGTGTCCTTGGAGTTGTACTCATCCTTCTTCTTCCTCCAAACACGGCGAGTGGAGTTTAGACCATAAAGCTCTATTTTTGTCTCATCAGACCACATGACCTTCTTCCATTCCTCCTCTGGATCATCCAGATGGTCATTGGCAAACTTCAGACGGGCACTGGCTTGAGCAGGGGGACCTTGCGTGCGCTGCAGGATTTTAATCCATGACGGCGTAGTGTGTTACAAATGGTTTTCTTTGAGACTGTGGTCCCAGCTCTCTTCAGGTCATTGACGAGGGCCTGCCGTGTAGTTCTGGGCTGATCCCTCACCTTCCTCATGATCAGTGATGCCCCACGAGGTGAGATCCTGCACCGACCGAGGGAGATTGACCGTCATGTTGAACTTCTTCCATTTTCTAATAATTGCGCCAACAGTTGTTGCCTTCTCACCAAGCTGCTTGCCTATTGTCCTGTAGCCCATCCCAGCCTTGTGCAGGTCTACAATTTTATCCCCGATGTCCTTACACAGCTCTCTGGTCTTGGCCATTGTGGAGAGGTTGGAGTCTGTTTGATTGAGTGTGGACAGGTGTCTTTTATACAGGTAATGAGTTCAAACAGGTGCAGTTAATACAGGTAATGAGTGGAGAACAGGAGGGCTTCTTAAAGAAGAACCAACAGGTCTGTGAGAGCCGGAATTCTTACTGGTTGGTAGGTGATCAAATACTTATGTCATGCAATAAAATGCATATTAATTATTTAAAAATCATACAATGTGATTTTCTGAATTTTTGTTTTAGATTCCGTCTCTCACAGTTTAAGTGTACCTATGATAAAAATTACAGACCTCTACATGCTTTGTAAGTAGGAAAACCTGCAAAATCAGCAGTGTATCAAATACTTGCTCTCCCCACTGTACATTTAAAATCTGGGTTGTTTTTTTGTTTAGTTTTTTTCAAAAAGCTATATACACAACATAGATCACATTTGAACGTTGACGTACGCTTTAGCAAATAGTTGCCTATTCATACATCCAGTAGACACAGACCAAGATCAGCGTTGATTTGGGAGTTGTTTGTGCCAACCTTATGATTCAATGATAACTCTCCATTTAACTCTTTTGGTCTTCACTAACTCCTAAGGGAAACATCTTGAATGTACAGAATTACAGTGTGGGTACATCTGAGCATTTCTGCTGAAAATGGCGCTGATTAAAGTAGTCAGAGGCAGGAGAGCTGCAGTCGGATGATAGAATTCATAGGGTTCTTAATTACACCTTCTTAATTACACCTTAATTAACACCTTTCATATTACAGTCCATATTTCTATTGTTAATATAAAAATATTTATTAGTGCATTATTGATAGTCACACATGTTCTGCTGGCTAAAGAAAACGATGCACAGTGGACACGGGGCAGGCCCAGTCTGTTTAGTTTAGTTCATTGACAGACCACATGCATAAAGAGGGTTTCTGATATCTCTGCGGACTCTTTACACACAGCCTTCCCAACTGAATCAGCGTTTATCACTGAAGCTTTCAAAGCAGCAAAATATTCAAAGCTGGTTGCTGATGATACCTGTTAGATTTACATGTGTTATCGAATGGACGCTGTCCTCTGAGCTGCCTTTCATCCAGGAACCCTGCACTTGTTGGATGGCTGTTATACATAACGTGATGCTATGAATGCACAACTATCAGCCAAGTGTTCCTCTGAGAGGTGTGTTTGTATTAGGATATCAATCCAGTGCTGTCATGGGGGATTGCTGAGTGAACACATGAGGCCGCTCCCAGCATGGCTCTCACATTTTCTCCATCGTAGAGGAGCACTGATTGATTTGTTTATGGTAATCACACAGCCAATTCATTATCCTTAACTACCGTATAGAGTGTTTTGCTGTGATACACCAATAGCGGGGAAACACTGTGATGTCCACTTGTAGTAATGTCAGTTCAGGAAGTATCTTTATTTTGCCTCACTCTGCAGCCGAGAAGAATCATTTCTCGCTGCCACAGCATTGTGTTGAGTCGTGCTGTGTTTTTAAATTATTCTTTCATTAGTTAAACATAGGGGGAGGGTAGTATGGGTATCTACTGGCAATTTGCCATGTATGTAAGGCTCTTTATTTTATGTTAAAAAGAAAATTATATTTTGATCATTTAAAAAATAATAATTACAAAATACCACTTGTAGGGCAATTGATGTTTTCTTGTTGTGGGTACCTATAGGGACTCAGGTACATGAAACAGCTTATTTGCACCGTCTATTACCAGAAGCATTTTCTGAGCACTTAGTTTTTCCAAGAGGACTTTGTTTTCTGTAAGCTGTGATGATCAAAATGCAGGAACTACATCTTTGGATGAAAGGGGAAAATCAATTTAAAGTAATCTCTGCCTTTAATGAAAAAAAATCTATCTTTAAATCTGTAAACGAGTTGCGTGTATATGTGATGTATATTCAAGTCTGGTGAATCAGCATCTTAATATGTGATGTTAAGAGGTGTAAAGGTTTAAATTAATTTAAATTTACAATTTGAAAAACTGCTAAAACTAAATTTATAGGAGTTTGGGTTGAGGTAAGAAACACCTTGAAAGAATAGATGTGTGTGCGCTGCTACTTTCCTGTTATGTTCCTCTTTGTTGCCACTTCACTATGTTCACTCAAGTTTTCCTCCCCACAGACGGTTGATGTTGTGTCACAAATATATTAGCACTACAAATCATCCAGTGGCTTATAACTGGGGAATATCAGAACCCTTGTATTTCTCAACACAGCTCTTTAAATGTCATCATCCACATTCACAAGTGAAAAAAGTAGAAATCCTATAAAAAAAAAGTAGTATTTTATTTTTTACAGTTTCTGTTCAAGTGATACAGTATAGCACTGTAGCGTTTGTGGGTTGGTTCCAGTTCTGCAATGTCCTATGCAGTAGGGATTTTAGTGAATCCATGAAATATATACTGCTCTGTATCCAGTACTCAGAATACTATACAGTATTCCATAACAAAAAAAACAATTTGAAGTCTTAAGAAGCTGTCAGTTACTACATAAAATCACATACATGCTATGTACCCACACACATACAGACATATGCCACACACATAAACACTGGCAGGATTACAGCTGCCTACATTCACACCCTCGGCTGAGCATCAGATGTTTCGATTTCTCACCTCTTAAAAGTGCAATAAGTAAGATATTTACAGACCCATAGCACAAAATGACCACAGTGTGGGTCTGCAGGGGTTTCACAGGGTTCAATACCAATGATTCAACAATTACTTCAGCAAGGGCAAGGATTTCTGGCTTTCAAAAACTGACTTTCCCCACCTGTGGTGGATTGAAGAAAAACTGACAGATGGTGCTACAACTGGACACTGAAATACATTACATAAATCCCTATTATATAGCCAAAATGCCAAAGCACTGTCATTGTTTTATCATGCTGCATCATGAAACAGCCTTTTTTACTAGATGTTGTTGTTGCATGTCTGCCCAAATTAACCTGCTTTTGTACAGATAAAATATAGGGGACAGGAGAGGGGGGTGGCTGGAGGCTTGGAGGGCTAGGGAGGTGGCGAAGAGGAAGAAAGCTCTAGAGACAGAAGGCCGGCTAAGGTTCCTTTTGGCCAGGAAGGCACGAGCTGCCAGGACTGGAAGCTGAACAGCCGCAGATCATCTGCAGGCTTTGTTCTGTGGATTATGTGTAGACAAATGGGAGCGATTACAGAGATTTTTCAGGACCTCGCAAAGCTCATTTATCCAAGTTGCCAAGATAACACGACTCACATCAGCATAGGTGATAAGACTGCAAGTAGTAAACAACACAGAATAGCGACTGGATGAAGATAATTGTTTTTTAACGAGACGTATTTCCTTGTGATATGAAAAACAATTAGTTAACAGTGAATGTGTGTGTGCTTTTGTTTCTTCCAGGAGGAGGTGTGCCCCACCTCACCAGGAGAGGAGGTTCAGAGGTGTGTGTGGTCATCAGCGGTCAACATCAAGGACAAGTTTATTTATGTGACACAGCCAACCTTGGATCGAGTGCTCATAGTTGACATCCAGTCTCAGAAGGCTGTCCAGGTAGTGTTCAGGTTAAATTGGAAAACAAGGTTCATGTCCATTTTGGCAGTAACACTTCAACAATGAGAGCAGTTAACAATTCTACACAAAAGCAGTTTGTGAAAGTGAAGGTTCTTTCTAACAAATCTGCCTCCATCTGAGCTAAGAAACCTCAAGGTTGCAAGAGGCTTGATAACTTTTTTCTACTTCTCTTTGACAGTTATAAAAATAAAAAAAGTCCCTGCATTGATTGAATACAACATATTTCACAATAACCTTCGATACATCATTCTTCATATGGGTATTTTGTTGAATGAAGGACGCATTTTTTCCATTTCAGTTTGATACAATACATTGTCCTTCATCCAGAAACTCAATTATTTGAGAGCATTGGACTACAAAGCCAAACTGCATGTGAACTTTATCTAGACTTGTGCAATGTGGAAATGGATTGTGCATTAGATATGCTTTAAATATTCTACTTGAGTAATAATTTAGTAGGATACTAGTACACAGAGTGAGTGCTATGGTGTGCCAATACTGGTCCTGGTGAGCTTCAGATATAGGCTGGAGGCCCCACACAAGACATGTTTGACAGATGAATGACACTTCATCATGGCAGTGATGTAAACACAAAACCAATAGATGTTATGTTGTTAAAGCTAATAATTGTCCAGTCCTAAGCATGTATTCATGTACATGTATATAATAACATTCCCTAGATTGTCTGTCAGACAGTCATAATGCAGGGTCCAACTTAAAGCCTGTGTACAATGTTGTGAAAAGTGGTGCAGTCTGTGTGTCACTTAATGCCCATTCATCATCTTTGATCCTGCAGTACCACTGGAGCGCACCAAAAGGAGAAATTTCCTTATTTGTGCTAACCACTAAACAATAACAGAAAAGGCTAATAAGACAAGCCTTTCCTCTGTCAAAAGGCAAGAGCCATACCAAGGGCTGGTTAAGAAAATAAGCTGTTATTTAGGGCCAGGTTCCGATGGCAATTCCATTTTAGATCTGGTTCATCGTTACCGTAATTACAGTATATTGCTAAGCGCCAACATTAACAGATCTGTCTTTCTGTGGAAAAGGTAAAATTTTTTATCCTGCGTTTTGCCGGTTTAAATGACAAAATGTCACTGGCAGGAGATCAAATGTAACTAATTAACTTTAATTCTGTAAAGCCTCAAACTAAACTACCCAAAGTGCTCACGATTATCTCTCTTTGACCGCAAGCTGTGTAAGTAATTTAACAGGACCAACAGAGTGGTGAAACCTTGCCCCAAAAAATTCTCTTGCTTATTATGTCACATCAATTTCAGGAAAATGCCCCAGTGAAATTTCAATATCATGCACCTAAGCTTTGCCTTCAAAAAAGCATCAGTTCTTGTAGATACACTTGCACATAGTTTTTGAAGGAACTCAGCAGGTAGGTTGGCCCAAACATCTCGGAGAACTACCCACAGTTCTTCTGTGGATTTAGGCAGACTCAGTTGTTTCTCTTCTCTCTCCAGACTCGATGATGTTGAAATCAGGCTCTGTGGGGGCCATACCATCACTTCCGGGACTCCTTGTTCTTTTTAACGCTGAAGATTGTTCTTCATGACTTTCACTGTAGGTTTGGGTTCATTGTCATGCTGCAGATACATTTGGGGCCAATCATATGCCTCCCTGATGACATTGCATGATGAATAAGTATCTGCCTGTACTTCTCAGCATTGAGGACCATTCATTCTGACCTAATCAAAAATCTGAAATGCTGCCCCAAACTTGCAAGGAACCTCCAAAATGCTTCACTGTTGCCTGCAGACACCATTGTTGTTCTGCTCTCCAGCCCTTAGGTGAACAAACTGCTGCAGCTATATATATATATTTCAGAGTCATCAGTCCAGAGCACCTGCTGCCAACCACCGTGTCTACAGTCCTCAACTTTGCCCATTCCTTGTTTCTTCAAAAGAGACAGCAAATCTGAAAGCCCTTGAAATTATGCCTGGGAGAGATGCAGTACAACTACGTTGTGTCAAAATCCCTGACTTTGTGCAAGTGTGCCTAGAAGAATTGAAGCTGTTTTGAAGGTAAAGGGTGGTTTGCATATTGGGACAATTCATTTGCATAACTTGCGTCAGCATGTTGCTGCACCCTGTCAAAGCAAGGATTCCCCCCCAAAATCTATGGTGTATTAAATATGAATGTGAGTATTACAATATGTTTTATTCAATTCAGGTAACTTCGTGAATAATAATTTTCTCAGGCTTAAAATTCATAGAGATTTTCATTACACGGCAGTGAAGTTGGCATTAAATTTCATCCTAGGTGGAATTAAAAAGTCTTAAATTTAACTTTGAGAATCCTGGGGATACCCTGATAAGAGTCAGAATAGTGGCTGTGCAAGCAAATGAGAAAAAAGCTGTGTGGTTAAAGCCCGTTGACAAAAAGGCAGTGGTGATTTCATTAAAATAAAATAAAAAAAACTTATATATAGCTTCTTTGATTTTATTATTTGAGTTAAAATAGTTATCTTTAGAATAATTGTTATTAAATTAGTCATGAGTTGAACTGACTAAAATAATAATTTTTAATCGATTTGGAAAATTGGAATTTTTACAGCTAAAATGTCCTTTAGCAAAATCAGTACCTTATCGTATGATAATTATGACTAGAACATTGACTAAAATTAGACTACAATTAAAACAGAGGTCTGATGAAATCTAAAACAAAGCAAAACTAAAAAAAGCTTTAAGTCTACTACAATTTCCAGTAAGTGACTTAGACTAAAAAATGTGTTTCTTGTCAAAATTAACACTGGTTGTGAACATCAATCAGACTGACACTCAAACTGTTTCTGCCTTCTCAGCTAACAAAAGCTGATGATCGATCTCAGTTAATTATTTAGGTTTTAATTATGTACAATTTTAATTAATTGCACATGTTGAAGACTAAACCTTATTAGATTTAATAACAGATTACAGGACTTTCTCATCTGTTTTCACGTGTTCAACTTCGCTACATGACAATGTCTTTTAGGTTGCATCACCCCTTCCACTTGCACTGACGATTTAATGTGCTGCCTTTTCAGCGTTTTCCCACCCTTAGTTCAACCCCCTGAACTGACCCAACAGTCAAGACCTATGTAACCCAGAGACCCACCTCTCGCTGCAGTTTTCCACACAGATGGTCTAAGAGGCAATCCTTCAAGCACTCTGCCACAGTTGGACTCTAGCCACATTTCAGCACCATTTATTTTTCCTGGGGGAATTTTATTTTTGTAAGGCAGGCCCAGGAAGTAGTACAATTCCTACATGATATTCGGCACATTTCTAGTGAACAGCCTTGAGTTAAATCATCGGTGTCAGTGGGTTTTTGGGTGTGTCAGGTTAATCCAGAGTTGTTCAGATCCCTGCAGATGTTTTTGACACCATGATGGCTGTTTATAGCTCACAAGCCTCTCAGGGACCTGCCAGTAAGCAGGCTGCGGTCCCAGAGACTGTCACAAGCTCATTATTCAGTCGCCTGGAGGTTTAGCTTCATTGCATTATATTAGCAGTTGTTAATTAACCACCTGAAACTGTGTCTTGTCTCGAATAGTATGAGGGACACCAGTTCTGGTCCATTCCATTTTCTCTTTCTTGAGTCATTAATATGATTGACATGCGTAAAGTAATAATAAGGAGCAAATTGCATTTTGAAAATTTGTAACCAAATTAAATACTTAGTGAAGATTTTTTAATGAGCAGATTGTATCTTGCGTGTGATAACCAATTATTTGCAACGTGCACACGAATAAATGTTTTCAGTGCTTCATCTCCGACAGATCCGCAGTCACGCTAGAGTTATGCAAGCATATTGGCTCAGGATCTTGATAATCTTCCTCAGCCAGAAAGAAGTTGTTAGTCAAGAGAAAAAGAACAACATGAACACCTGTTTCCTCCGATGACTACATGCTCAGAGATTAGTTAGGATTCAACAGATATTCTCATCTTATTTGCAATAACCCTCTCAGGAGCTGTTTGCTCCTTCAGTGAAACAATATATATTTTGCCTAGGTAAACAATACTATTAGGGCTCCATAGCAAAACAAATGGTATTAAAAGTAAACTGCAGTCAAAGGGGATTGTGGGAATACAGGGTTCCAATAATTTTCTTGAAAAAAGATGATTGCTTTTACTTGCTGCTGTTGAGGTTGTAGCTACTCCATGTATTCTTCTCCCCTGTGAGTTCCCTATTCCCTTTGAGCTGGCTGGCTGTCTGCACTCAGGTGGACATAATGCATAAGGAGCGCTTTTCTGTCAAATACGACTCATCTACTGTTCGGACTTGAAATATTGCCAAGATGTCAAGGAACGGATAAAGACTGAAAGCAATTATTTCAGGGTGGTAAAGCAATTGTGTCTGTCGCCACTTAATTTGAAATGTAGCTCAACACCAAAAACACCTTATACATAAAAAGCACACCTCTGGTCGGCCTTGTTAAAAGACTTGCTCCTGTCAACCACCAATATTAGTCTGTAGGAACACCATTCAAAAACATTACCACTGTACATCATAGAGGGAGCTCTTCAAAAGCAAAGTCTAGATTGCCTTGAATTGTTATTCTGTGGCCCTGCTGTCTTTAAAAGACTGGTTTGATTGTGTGTCCCCCTCCAGACAGTCAGCACTGACCCTTATCCAGTGCAGCTTCACTATGACAGATCTCACGACCAAGTGTGGCTGCTCAGCTGGGGAGACATGGAGAAGAACTTCCCTACTCTCCAGGTAAGTCCACAATTTACTGTGCATTACACTCCAATGTTATTAATTCCTCTGCAGAAATGTTTCCTTGTGAAATGGTAGAAAGGCAGAGAAGCAGACATTTGACATTTTCAGGATCCAAGGTTAGCAAATATCTGGTCAAATTATCTATTATTCCATTTATTATTTTCCCCTTATATTCCGTGCATTATAATACTCACATTTAAGAAGCTGGTCCCAGCAACTGTTTGCCATTTTGGCTTGAAAAGTGACTTAGGGCAGGATCACATCGACCTTGTTTAGTTCTGTTGAACCGAACACTGCCCTTCGGTTTGTGATTTCATTGATTAAAATAATTTTCTCATCCTGTTTTGGTGACTGGTCAACTAGTAGCGTGTTTACTAGCAAAATGTTGACTAGCAGGGGACAAATCAGCAAATATTGAGGAGTGTCGTGTGAAAGATAAATCTGCATCAACAGTACATTACACATACAAGTACCATAGAATTTAAGTATTTGGAGGGATTCATGTTTTTACCTGGAAAATTTAAACAGTGCATCATCATGTTGGTTCAATTCAGAAGGCAGACCTTTAGGTGTGAACACGCCCTCAAACAACTAATTGACAACTAATAGAATAATTGTTTCAGCTTTAGATCAGATTACTGTTAACATAAGGTGATTACTGGGGGTAAATTCACATCAGTCTCCAAATGCTGTTTACAATAAATATCATTTGTGAAAGGTTTCTCATAAAAGCTGTTATATTGACCATAGACATTCAGAAATCGCAGATATTTGCTAACAAAGGCAATCCACAAAGTGCAAGGTCATAAAAGCCACAATGATTAGTTATATTCTTGCTGATAGACTTTCTCCTGCCTACAAGCAGCTTATTTTTCAGAGCAACACATCTACATTATATTATAAAGAACATAATCACCATCTTGGCAGGGCATAACTGCTAAATTAAATGTGAATTCCTCCAACTTGTCCTGTTCGTCCCCTTTTCCCAATATGACATGAATGTGCTATCGATCACTACAACCTCTGTGGGGTTTTCAATTGTTGATTTGTTTCTCTTGCTTGATGAGAGGCAATTAAAAGTCACTTACAGTGCAGTGGGTTACTTACACAAGTGACTATTAATTATTAATTAACTATTTGTGCAGTGACACATTTTCAATTGTTTTGGCTGAGAACTCCTGCACATTAGATTTGAGAAAAAAAAAAAAAAAACAGTGACTAAGAGGGTAAAAAGTGCTGATTGGTCACATCTACAGGATGGTACTTTTTGTGGGTGTGACATATACACCAACATAGATGTACCATAAATTCGTAGAAAAGCCAGAACGGACACAAAATCTGTGGTCACTTGAAGGAATTGTTGCCTCTTTTATACTAGCAATGTCCTAATTTTTCGTCAGGCCAATGAAAAGACATCATTGTTTATCTAATTTGAATGTAAACACCCTCAAATTAAAGCTGAAAGTCGGCACAATGTCATTACTATGTTATTTCAGATCCACTGTACCGGAGTAGAGAATAGACAGCAAAAACGTGTGACTGTCCTTACTGATTACACTGTGTGTCACAGATGTGAAAATCATGCTACAAAATAGAATCAACAAATATGTAATGAAAGGTTTTTTTAAGTATGTTGTGTTCCCTTGTTTACTGTAAGAGTTGGCTTTACTTGCTTGAAAAACCTGCTTGCCTGCACAGAAATTCATAATGCATGGTCTGTGGCAATTTGCTTTGCGCATTGTGGCACAGTCAAAGCAAGCACATGTCTACACACTTCCATGCACGCACAAGTATTATTTAGATAACGGCACACATCACCACCCACTGTGAAGCTCCAACATCTCGGTAAGACTTATAATAATAAGCACCCGAGCAAAGATGCTTTCAACATATTAAGTGATTTATTTGAGTGGCCACTGCTTTCATGGAATGTAATTAAAAATGACAAATATAACACTTATTACTCCCTTTTGTTATAAACTAACAGAAATAAATTAGTAGAAACCAGCAGCACGGAGTGTATTTATCAAGCTCATGTTTAACACCCACCTTATTCTCTGTTGGTGTTCAACAGGTGATCAATCAAGCCAGTGGAAGAGTCTCCCACCACACCGTTCACACACAGCCGGTCGGCAAACGCTTCGACAGGGTGGACGACTTCTTCATTCCCGCCTCCAGCCTCATCATTAACCACATCAGGTATGTCCAGTATGATTCAAGAACACCCCTAACTAGGGCTGGGGTGATTCGTCGACATAGTCGATGTAATCGATTACATAAATACGTTGACTCACATTATGTGCGTTGAAGCGTTGCAGCCGGTGTTAGCAGGGATTCCCCCGGACAAGCTCCAGCTACAAGACCACGGCGTCGACCATCTGAAGTTTGGGAGTATTTTAGACAGACACTCAACCACGTGCAGCGTATTTACTTTCTGTCTCCACATAAGCACAGCACGTTATCAGCACAAGGACACAAAGTCTGTTAAAATGTATTTTCTAAGTATTTCTTCATCGCCTTCATGTTAAAAGTAATTTCTGCACCGCTGCTGTCATGGTTACGTAACGTTACACCGTGTCTCATCTAATGTTCGGCCATTTTATATTTAAGCAATAGCTCACGACAGGCCGTGGTATTATATCACAGTTAAGGGGCTTTGTTCAAAACAGTTACCAAGCATGGCAAAAAGAAAGGCTAACAGACGCACTACAATTTGACAGACATTTCTTTTTGAATACAAAAAGTAGTTCCACCAGGCTGCCGGTAGGCAACATAGCGCATGACAGTTTCTAAGCAACATAAATCAAAGGCTAGAATTATTATAACTATTTATTTATATCTATTTGTACGTTGCCGTTTGTTGTGCAGCCACTAAAAAACTGTCCAGCATCAGGAGATTTCTGGGGCAAGTAGTGGACAGCTGTGTGTGTAAAAGAGGGAAAATATTGCATCACGTAATAAACAATTTCTCTCTGTCTCTCTATTTATTTATTTATTTATCTCCACCGGTAAAAAGTGATCTGTAGCCTATCAGATCTGTATCAGATCGCATTTTAATACCAGGTGTAAATGGGGCGTGAGACCCCCACAAAGCTCAGATTATAACTCAAACACTGTCACAGAGTGATACGGCTCTGTGCGAAGGAATTTGACACCATACCTGTTGTATACGCTCATTATATCACTACTATGAGCCAGTAAGATTGCCTGATTTGAGCTACCCATTTTATAATTTCTGTTTATTTAACAGCCACGTATGAGCTTAGTGGTTATCTGCAGAGGAGACTGTGGTTGATTCCCTGACGTAGTTCAAAAAATAAACCTCTTACATCTGCAGGGGAATGAGCTTTTTACATCTGAATGTACAAATCAGAAGGCCAATTAACAACCACTGACATTTTGTTTTTATTACTAAAAGATCACTCTTGTAGTTCTACCATAGGGATTTGCGATATAATAGAAACATTTCCTCTACTACAAAATTAATCAATCGTATAGCAATCTTTTAAGAGGAGTTAAGAAAACACGCCACATGCTATTTTTGCTATCAGAAGTCGGATGGTTAGATTGAAAAGATTAGCTTCTTTTGACGAAACTTTCTTGTGTCGGCACAGAAGGCTACGGTCAACAACTTTAAGGGCGAAGCCAGAGGAAACTCTGGTGGAGGCCCGTAGCGGTCCTGACGTGCAAATCGGTCGTCCGACCTGGGTATAGCGGCGGTTCTTCTCGAATATCACTAATCATAAGTAATTAGCTTGGCCTAGTTATTTATTATATTATTGTGTTTTCACCAAGGTAAACATTCTGCATAAAGCTACAAAAGGTAGGGAGACAGGTGGACACCTCACCTAAGCTAACATTTAAATTTATCAAGAATAAAGCACAGATGTGCTGAATTCAGAGTATATTGCAATGCTGCTGTGGATTTAGTCTTAAGCGGTTGTCACACTCAGGCTTAATGTGGTCCGAGAAAAGCCAGTCCCATACGCTTGACTAATGTCACGGAGAGGCCAGGGACAAGCAGGACGTCTGGAGGATTTTAGGATGTTAACGGCCTCCTGGAGAGGAGGAGTTAAGCAGTCCTGTGTGTGTGTGTTGCTGGCACAGCTGTAATTAGATCCACTGAGACCTGCAAGGGGAGATTGCAGGAAAGTGTGGTCGCATTTCTTTGCAACAATGTGTTTTTCATTGCTGTCTTTACTAACTAGTTGCTCATCATTTTGAATGCTTTAAAAATAAGCTTATACTGTGTTACTGATCCTACCAGGTCCTCTTATTATGAATGCTGTTTACATGGCTAAAATGCAAAACACATTACCTGAACAATTACCTTCACGTAGTATACATGGTCATCTCACTAGTTACACAAAATGGTAAATTGATGTGTAGTGCTTTTGATGTTATCTTTTCAACCATCCAGATTAAACAGCTTTCTCACTGTATAGCAGCAATTCTGTGGACATGACAATAATCATCTGTCACTGTATACAGTGCTTCTTCTGATTTTTACTTGCCAAGTAACTTCTTGATGATATCATTATTATCAATGACTTTTCTTTCAATTGACTAAACGTTGCAGCTCTAATTTTCATTATCAATTCATCTGACAATTTGTTTAGTCTATAAAATGAGAAAATAGTGAAAAATGCCCATCACAGGATCCCAGAACTTTTGTCCAACCAAGAGAAAAGCAGCAGCTTTTAAAATGACTGAAACAAATAACTGTCAATCAAAATAGTTAATTTTCTTTTGATAGGCTGATTCTTCAAGTGCTTGTTTCACCACAGTAAATTGATATCACAATTTACTGTAGCCTATATCAGGATATAGTAACATTTCTGGAAAAAAACAAAAAACAATCAGACAGGAATACCATAATCCAGCAGACTGATGTAAAAACTAGTTCAAAATCTAATAAAGCAATTGATGTTGGTCACTGATTTGCAACATTGCCCACAATGAGTTATTACGAGGTATTAAAAGGGATAACAGTATAAAACAATATGCAAAAGTTACTGACAGTTGAGAAATGTTGATTTACTGGACAGTCATTTAGCCCAACCCTGATTTATAGGTAATTTGGAATAATACAAAAAATACAGTGACCAGAAACATAATAAACATCTATATAAGGTAGAATTCAATAGCCCTGCAATGTGTGTGATGTGTTGTTTTTGTTCACACGACTTTAGTTATTTCTGTGTTGATTCATTTAAAACATATATATGTTTAGCCTCTGCTTTATAATGGTGTTGTATTGGATTGCGTAATATTTGTACAAGTGTTTTTTAAGTCACAAGTTTTTAAGTTTTGTCACACTGAGACGCTGTTGGCCCTCCATGGAGTTTAGTTACAAACTCAAAAGTGTGAAGTAGTCTCCTGTATATTTGCCAGGAGGCTATATCAGTATAAAGTGGAGGTACACACCAAGCTGTAGGTCAATATGTATGTCTGAATGTTGTTATTGCATATTAGGAAAGCTAACTGCAGACTTCTGGCTCTGATTTTATTTTTTTGATCTAGGACCTACACAGCCATTTCTCTGCTGGCAAGAATGCAGCATTGATTAGTCGATTTAGTGTGTTAACAGCCGACACATATTCAGCAACTTCCGGGGGATTGTTTAAAGACTGGGGATTCCCTCAGCAGTTACTATAAAGTGAGCAGGAACTTCTGGTGGCTGTCATTCATTAAAACCATCGACGTACAGTCAGGAAACTCTGCAAGTCAGCAAAAAAAGCTGTTATTTCTTATTTTTTACCCGCATCTTCAGTACCATGCCAGACTGCCTTTTGGCAAAACAACCCAAGCAAGATGTTGATTCGATATTTTTGCGCTGGAGGATGGGTAAACAAGAAATGCTTTGTTATAGATATCTTTTACTGAGCAGCTTTCATTGTTGTCCCATGTTCATGAATTTTGCCCTAAAGATCTTCAAATGATCTGCAGAGCAAAGTGTTCAAACCCAGTCATTCCTAAACTGAAAATATTGACTTGAAGATAAGATGCTAACATGTGACATAGTTTTAGATGAAAATAATCCTGTTGTGCAGAACGAGGGAGTCTTTAATGCATTAATCAGTGGTACAAACAACAAACAGCAGCTGTCAGTTTGGCTGAGAGCAATCTGGATCTGCCAATGAGGCCACCCAGCTGTGTTCACATTACAGCGGAGCCAAACAATGTCTGATTATTCATTTATCATACATGAAAAAATCTCTCGCTGTGGGTGAAAATATTTTCATATTTGCAAAATAAATGCACCATTGACCTTTAGCTTCCAACACTAATGTTTCACAGTATGTGTGCACTACCCATTGATCTGTCCCAACAGCCACAATTGAATGCAATCCATAGCAAAACAATTTCAACAGTGTTTGACAGCCAGTAGTAATATACTGAACAAAATTATAAACGCAACACTTTTGTTTTTGCCTCCATTCATCATGAGCTGAACTCAAAGATCTAAGACTTTCTCTATGTACACAAAAGGCCTATTTCTCTCAAATATTGTTCAGAAATCTGTCAAAATCTGTGTTAGTGAGCACTTCTCCTTTGCCGAAATAATTCATCCACCTCACAGGTGTGGCATATCAAGATGCTGATCAGACAGCATCGGTATTGCACTGGTGTGCCTTAGGCCGGCCACAATAAAAGGCCACTCCAAAATGTGCATTTTCACTGTATTGGGGGGTTTTGGAGAGGGTCATGGAAACCGGTCAGTATCTGGTGTACCCACCATTTGCCTCGCACAGTGCAACACATCTCGTTCACATAGAGTTGATCAGGTTGTTGGTTGTGGAGTGTTGGTCCACTCCTCTTCAACAGCTGTGCAAAGTTGCAGTCAGGTCGAGACCCCGATGAGGACAACGAGCATGCACATGAGCTTCCCTGAGACGGTTCCTGACAGTTTGTGCAGAAATTTTTTGGTTATGCAAACCAATTGTTACAGCAGTTGTCCGGGTGGCAGGTCTCGGACGATCTTGGAGGTGAAGATGCTGGATGTGGAGGTCCTGGGCTGGTGTGGTTACGCGTGCTCTGCGGTTGGATGCACTGCCAAATTCTCTGAAACGCCTTTGGAGACGGCTTATGGTAGAGAAATGAACATTCAATTCACGGGCAACAGCTCTGGCGCACATTCCTGCAGTCAGCATGCCAATTGCATGCTTCCTCAAAACTTGCGACATCTGTGGCATTGTGCTGTGTGATGGAACTGCACATTTTGGAGTGGCATTTTATTGTGTATGATCAGCATCTTGATATGCCACACCTGTGAGGTGGATGGATTATTTTGGCAAAGGAGAAGTGCTCACTAACACAGATTTGGACAGATTTCTGAACAATATGAGAGAAATAGGCCTTTTGTATACATAGAGAAAGTCTTAGATATTTGAGTTCAGCTCATGATGAATGGGGGCAAAAACAAAAGTGTTGCGATTAGAATTTTGTTCAGTGTAATATTGGTCTGTAAGTCATCAGCTCGGCCTCCCACTGCATAAGAAAGGCAAATGGTTCTTTAGGTTTAAACTAGAGCTCACTTTTTAATTTGGGAATGGGGATCAGTAGGATCAAGAACCAGCATGTTTAGTGTCAGATGGCTTGCTTTGATTTTAATCTAACAAATTCCAATTCACATAAAAGTCCATTTGGTTGGTTTGACATAAAAGTCAAGACCTACAGACTCGAACTGTTAAATTAAAATATGGAAAGAGTCTCAGATAGTAATTCATGAGACTAATAAAATAAATGCACCTTGGTTGAAAACATTCTTTCATACACTTGTAATGCTACTTTGAACATTATTTCCTTGGCTGCCATTAGTTAACTACACAAATACTGTGGAGTCCATTATTAATGCAGGGCAAAATTACCAGTGAAAGTTGTCAGGCCATGGAAAATCTGATCTAAATGGGCTGCTTGGATTGAATGAAGTTGTTTAGATTTTTTTGACAGATGCATGGATCTCTCTCAGATTTAGCTTTTTACAAGCTCAATCTGGTTTATAAAAACTAAAACAAAATATAATGTTAATGAGTCCTCAATTTAGCCCCTGCTTGGACCCAGTGGACACAACTATCCCTGGATCAATGATTCCCTCCACAGGGATTATAATACACTCTGTGGCTTTCAAACAGCCATTTTCTGTTCACAGGTACAGCCAGCTTGGTGTTCAAATGGCATAAAAGATGATGAATGACTACATGATTGAAGTGCCTGTCAGCATCGATCAGCTGGTATTCACATTTAATTGAGGCCTGTCAGCTCCTTGCATATTGTCCCACTACCCTGTTCAGCTGAAAAACTGTAATGTGCCATTAACATATTCTTTGGTTTTTTGTAATGAATATCATTTTCTCTGATCCATGGCCCCATATAAAAGTGCTATAATTCTATTGGGGTAAAGTGTAGATTATGCTATATTGCCTATATTAAGATTGTCATGGACCAAAAGTTTGCTGTTGAAGTGCTTAAATGGACTTATGAGCAACATTTAGTTTTTTTCTCCTTAACATCTCAAACATTATGCCAGTTCAATTACCAGGTCAAATCATATTGCATTTATTATATCAGGTTGACTTCATCTTGATTTGTGCTGCTTTATTTTAAGATGTTACCCACATGCTCCTTGAGAATTCACGAGACTAGGAAACAACATGATAAATAAACAAACACTCTTTACTGGCAGATTTCTGACTTAAAATATAGAAAATGAATTTTCAGACACAATGATTACATTTACGCTCTCTTAACAATCCAAAAGGTCTAGATTGTTGGTGCAGAGAGCCCCACAATTTCTAAATCAATTCTACTAGTTCAGGTTCAGGCCACTCTTCCATTGCAATAATTGTTAGTTGCTCCGGATAAGAGACTATAGCCTTGGGAACATCAGCATGTTATAATGTGCTCACCATGACAATGCTAACATGCTGATGTTTAGCAAGTATAATGTTTACCATGTTTACCTTCCTAGAGCGTTGCCAAGTAACCCTAAACACTGAGCACATCTAAGGCTGATGGAGGGAGGTTTTACAGGTATGAAGTATTGGACAAGTAAAAGTTGCAACCGGACGATGGCGCTAGATGAGTTAAGGGATCACTATGGTTGTTATTCCATTCATTATGAAGGGAACATGAATATCTGTAACAAAGTTCAGGGCAGGCTGCATCAACCAAAAGTCATAAAAGACGCATCACCTGAGAACCATCAATGTGTATAGAAAATTTTGTACCAGTCCATCTTGTAGATGATATATTTTACTAGGTAAGTAAAAACTTTAATATGACTCCATCAGCAAATCAGTTGGGATCAGCACCAAAGTCAGTAGGCTTCATCCTCTTAGATCCACAAATGACTGCATAAAATTCCATGGCAATCCATCCAATAGTTGACATATTTCACTCTGGACCAATTGACTGGCATTGCCATCTATGGAATCACACTGCTAGCGTGGCCAAAATCTGTCATAATTTGGGGTTTACAAGACAAAATGTGTTATTGATTAAATCTTTGTCTCTGTTTTTCTCTTTAAATTGTCTACAGATTTGGCCTCATCCTTCATCGAAATGAGCCTGTTCTCCACAAGATCGACCTGGAGACGACGTCGTATGTGAAAAACATCAGCTTACGGGAGTATAACTGCATCCCCAAGTCTGTAGCGTACACCCATCTTGGTGGCTACTACTTTGTCAACTGCAAGCCGGACTCCACCGGCGCCACTCAGCCCCAGCTCATCTTAGACAGTGTAACAGATAGTGTGATCGGCCAAAACAGTGACGTCACCGGCACACCCTACGTGTCTCCAGATGGCCACTACTTGGTCACTGTTGATGATGGCGACGGCCTCATGAGGATCCAGAAGATCTCAGAGCGGGGAGAGATCCAGGAGCCCTTTGACATACACACCAACCTTCACCTGTCTGATCTCGCCTTCCAGCGCTCCTTCACAGAAGTTCACCAATACAACGTGTTCGGCAGCTCCGGCCGTCAAACTGATGCTCTGTTTGTGGAGCTGAGCACCGGCAAAGTCAAGATGATCAAGAGCTTGAAAGAGGCCACCAAGTCAGTCGAGTGGCCGTGGAGCAGTATGAACAGGGTAATGGCAGGCAGCGGATTGTTCGGACAGTACCTCATGACCCCGTCCAGAGAGTCCCTCTTCATCCTGGACGGGCGCCTCAACAAGCTCAACTGTGAGATCACTGATGTCCTCAAAGGCAATGTGGTGATGTGGGTTGGGGAATCTTAGGTCATAACATGAAGACCCAATGAGCTTGCTTTTTCTCAAAGGTACTATTGCACTGAATTCTGTTGCAGATGTTTTAATTTTGTGTGAATACCACAGATTCTGAAACCAAATTGACCAAGTCCATTGGATGAGGGACTGTCATCCAAAAAAATTTAAAAAATACATGTGAGGGATTAATTGATACTGTCTTAAAGCCAAGATAAAACCATTTTTTCCCACTGAGTGGTTCATGTTTATGTCAACATAAAGTTGCTTGCTGGTAATCTTTCAGGAAAATTGGTATGAATCTGTAAATTTGTGCAACTTTGCATTATTATTCACAATTGGTTGTATTCAGTGTGTGGGAATGCTGTAGATAATCTCTGAACAAAACTAATATTTAAGTGAATTGGGAGAAATATTATATATATACATATATACACACACACACACACACACACACTGTATATGTCCGAATTAACTATTTTAATTTAAGTTAACCCATCCAGAACTTTTTCCTGTGCCTTCAAGGAAAATTCCCCTCCGTCAGAGGAATTAGCGTAATTATTCCCAGTGAGACTGCAGACTACACCATCTCCTCTGACTCCTCCATTCGTGCTGAGTGTGGTTTCTCACAAAGTTACTGCTCTCGTCTATCCGTCCGTCAACACAGGCGACTCAGTCTAATTAAAACGAGCCCTTGCTGTGATCCCATCCTGTTTGAAGTGGAGACTGAGAGGTTCATTATGGTTGTGCGTTCTGTAACCTTTGATCCAAAATTATAACCAGCGTTGGAAGGTTTTGAATTATATACTTTTTTTCCCTTTTTAGTCCAAAGCAGAAAAATGTTAGTCCAATTGTACCAGCTTTACACACTTCACATTGTGAAATTTTAAGTATTTAAAAGTTCCTTAGCAATGAGTCAATAGAGCACTCGCGTGTGAAGAAAATCTTATCATAACGTCAATATCCCTGGACCAAAAAAAAAAAAGAAGCTATTTAATAGAATAGTATAATAGAATGAACTGTTGAAAACATGCATTGTTTGACAGCGTGTTTCAAGTGGATGTTTTAATGTGAAGTAATGATGAGCTAGCATGCTGTGGAGTGGGGTAGTTGTATTGTGTAGAGAGTCTTTGAGGATAAGCTCTGAATATGAGAAGCAACTCTTTCTGAATGCTCCTGCAGTAGATACATAGCTGGCGAGTCAATGAAACAGTTTCCTAGCTGGACACATTTCTATGCATTATCACCCTGGCACTCTACGACTCTGTGAATCACAATGGGCAACTGTATCTCAAATTTAGTACGGACTTTTGATGTGTACAGATTATATAAAGTCATTCTGTCTTTCCTGTTAAATCTTACTCGTATATATTTTGATTTTAACTTTATTTGATCCTTTTCTTCCCCCCTCCACATACTGCATATTGTTTTCGAACTTTTAAACCTGACTGTACTGCTGATGATGACCTCTGACCTTTCTATTTCTGTTCTGTACATAGCGGCTGACTGTGAATCCACTCGTTTCCCATTAATGTACAGATTCACGCAGGTTATGTTCACTTTCTGAGCAAATAATCACACTCCTTTTTAAGAATGAAAACAAACACACAGCTGTCATTATCACCATCCTGTATCCAAGCACATTGTGATCACAAACACCGCTTTCACCTCCATATAGCCATGTCTTGTATGTTTCTTCATGTGATTGTTATTTATATAGATAAAACACGCTTGTCATTTTACCCAACAATAAAAACTAGACCATGAAAAACAAGTTAAATGTGTTTTCCTGTCCTCATTAAAACAACATTTTACACTGTAGACTCTGGTACACGCAATCACGCATTGACAAGTTTCCTTTAGGAGCTCAAGCAGCCTGTTGCCAATTAATATGCTACAAGAACAAGGTCAACCCCCTCTTGTCCCTTTGGGTCTGTTTATCTTGCAGCAAGGCATTCAATACAACATATAATTAGCAAAGAAAGAAAGATCTGTGACTGAAAGAAAAGAAGACTGAAACCGAGAAAGCACAGCCGCATTTAATCAGTTTATGTCAAATACATTAAAATCATTTCAATTTTCTTTGACTAGGAAAGTCTGTGATATTCTGGACTTTTTGGAAAATGTGATTGGCATGGACATGATTGAACTCACGACTGCCTGAAGGCTGAATGAAAAATGTCCACCACTATTAAGGATACAATTGTATTTTGACATTTTAAAACTCAACTTTGAGTTAGGAAGAAATTTGGGGATTTCAGGGTGCTTTCAAGGCAACTTATCAAAATCACGAAGTCTGTCGTTTAAGTTTAACTGAACTACGGCTGACTCCCACTAGCGAGCGAGTGATTTAGGGCAAGTATAGGGCTGGGTGATGCAGCATAGGAATCTCAATATTTTTAGTCAATGCCACCATATACGATATATCTCTCTATACACATTTTATCTAAAATAACAGCATACATTCTCAAATTGTGCAAACATGATCTTGTAGAATATGATGCATTGCTGTAGATTAAACTACACAACAGTATACTGTTATTAAACTCAACCTTAAACATCTACAGCTCTAAAATGCACAGCAGAGTTGGTCCTGACGGTGAAAAGCTAGCTAGTTGGCAGCTTATCTACACACTTCATGGCTGATTAAAGTTACATAACTACTCAACAGCGACCAGCGGAAACACTGAATCTTTATTAATGAAAATGAGGAAGCAGAAGCCAAGCGGCTCTGTTTTTTTAATATATTAGGTAGAGCTGGAATGATTAGTCAATTCATTGATTAGTCCGTTAACAAAACATTTATCTGCATACATTCTGGTAAGCAATTATTAATTAATACATTTTATTTTTTTAGCAAAAATGTCAGGAATTAAGTGGTTTCTGTTTCTCAAATGTGACTATTGTCTGATGATCTAGGATGAGAAACTGAATATCTTTGGGTTTCGGGCTGTTGGTCAGACAAAACAAGACATTTAAAGACATAAATAATGACAATCACCAGTAGCAGCCCTGACATCCAGACACCTCGGGCTGTAATGTTCTGCTTATATCATGGCCACTTACATAAGAGAAAGCAGAACAGATGTGATAAAATAAAAATCCTAAGTTTGTTTTTAGTCTTGGTTAGGTACTGTTGCCATAGTAACCACCAGTTTAACATTATGCACACACTGATTTAGAACAATTAAGTTTAACTATTTAACTGGATCTTTGTTTTAGACATGAGGTTATATTATTGGACACTATTTTTGTACGAATGCTTTGTTTCACATTTCATAACATTCAATATGCAAACCTGGTGACAAAATGTTACTCTCACAAATCTGACCCATAATAAATCACACATGGTGCATACAATGAAAAAAAGTAAAATGTAATGAATAATTGTGTGTGTTAATAGCTGCTAAATTCATTAATCTGTAATTATTTTGATAGTTGTTTATTCATTTTTAAGCAAAAATGCCAAAACATTAGCCAGTTGCAGCTTCTATAGAAATATATTTGGGGTTAGGACTCTTGGTTTGACAAAACTAGATTTTTTTTTTTAAAGTTAGCATGGACTTTGGGTTTTCACAGTTTTATGACATTTTAAAGACAAAACAACCGATTTATTACCTCCCAGATTAATCAAAAATGGAAATAATTGCAGATGTAGCTCTATACATATTCATCACTGAATTTTAGTAATTGTTTCCTTAAAGTTGGAGACAAAAATGTAAATAACGTAGATTAGAATAACTGTTCAATAATTTCACCTTACTTATTGAAAATGCAGTATTACTGTAAATATAGATCATGTCGTCTAGAGTCTGACTTCGTTACAGTAAATCTTATATTCATACAAAGCAAAATGCACAAAAGGTGCTAATTTGAGATGCCTGTATTCTGAGGACTAGGCATGTGATTTAGGGTTAGGACACCATTTTGATTTTATTAAGTCCGTCTGGAATATGATTTTGCTAATTGAAACCACATCGAATGTAAAAGTCTGTAATTGATGTCAAAAATGAGTATTTATTTAATTATCCTACATCAGTCTTTTTTGGTAGAAATGTTTTTGGTACTCGGGACCCAGTTACATCTTTAAAAAAAAAAAAAAAAAAAAACCTGTGTAAGTGGATCAGACGTGAAATGTTTGAAATCAGCTCATCTGTCACATATCTACTTCCCAATCATTTAAATCCAATTTCATTCACATCATTTTTTATCAAATTTATATCCTTGACATACAAACTATGGCTCATAATGGAATGTAATCTCCCTTTTCAACTATCTCTCCTCTCTTACGCTAACTATTCCCCTGCTAAAAAAACGACATTCAACATGTTGGAATTTCACAACAGCAAACACTTTCATTCAGGCAGTGTGTTATACCCCCCCGGGCTTATTCGTCTTTATAATGTATGTGGCTGCAGGTATTGTCAGCTGTTTTGGATAAAAGGATTCTCCAAATTGCACGAGGTCGTATACTTATCTCTGAAATCCATGTGGAGAGGTACTTCAATCCGAACATCCCCTACATCAGATAAGCCTTTTTCACTGAAAACCTACCACATCCATGCGTGTCTATGACAGAGGAGAACAGGTTCTCACATCTCACCTTCTATACTGCATTTACTATATGATTCATGATGGTTTATACACCACAGATCGTCCTTAAGACCTGAACCTGAGTCTACAATTACTCTGTTGGTAGTAATTAGTAATTGGTTTTATTGTTTAATCTCTCTAAATATTTTTCAGATTATTTGATTAATCCTTAATTAAAGTGCCTATCGCAATTAGTCAGAGCCAAATGGCCTCGTCAAATTAGTCTGAACAACAGTGAAAACCCAAGGATTTCAGTTTACAATGATAAAAAAAAAATGGAGAAAAGCAGCAAATCTTCACATTTGAAAAGCAGTAGTTAGTAGAAATTAGAGCTAGTTATTAGATACAGTTGAATTCAAAATAATAGCAGTCCAACATCACTAACCAGAACATTTGACAGAAATGATATTTCTACATGGCAAATAATTTACTAGTGTTTGTAGTTGAGTAATAGAAAACCAACAGACCCAACATTCATGGAATACATGCTGCCGATTCTGTGTAATTGAATCATTAATTAAAAGGGGCGTGTTCAAAACAATAGCAGTGTGGAGCTCAATTAGTGAGGTCATTCATTCTGTGAAAAAACAGGTGTCAAACAGGTGGCCCTCATTTAAGGACGAAGGCAGCAAATGTTGCACATGCTAGTTATGGTGCATTTCTCTCAAAAAAAAGTAAAGTCTATGCGAGCCAAGCTATTGGCAAGAAGTCCCTGTAAAATCCCATTGTTGCAAAAAAACAACATGCGCTGAAGAGGTTACAATTTGCCAAAAAACACATCTACTGGTCTAAAGAGAAATAGCGCAACATTTTGTGGACTGATGAAAGCAAGATTGTTCTTTTTGGGTCTAGGGGCTGCAGTCAGTTTGTCTGATGTACCCCAAACACTGAATTCAAGCCACAGTACACTGTGAAGAGAGTGAAGCATGGTGGCGCAAGCATCATTATATCAGGATGTTTCTCATACTATGGTGTCAGGCCTGTTTATCGCATGCCAGGGATCATGGACCAGTCTGAATACATCAAAATACTTGAAGAGCTCGTGTTGCCTTATGCCGAAATGTCCTCGAAATGGTTGTTTCAACAAGACAACGACCCTAAACACACCAGTAAGGAAACAGCATCTTAGTACCAATATGATTAACTTTATCCCAATCCAATAGAAAATTTGTGGGGTGACATCAAAAATGCTGTTTCTGAGCCAAAACCACAAAATGCAGAGGAATTGTGGAATGTAGTCCAATCGTCCTGGTAAAAGCAGAGTTCATTAGAAAATTAGTAAATGTTTGGCAATTACTTTTCTGTTGATCGACTAATGGACTAATTGTAGCAGCATCACAAGTAACCAATTATAATATCCACTGTGTTTTAATAACAGAACAACTTTAATCATACATGTAGTGTGGAGACTTTTGGCATTTTTGCTTGATAAATGACTTATTATAAAAAATATTGTTGACTAATTGGCAGATCATTTAAGAGTTGGCTGACAGTTGGTAATTAGACTGGTTAGTAGACAGCAAATTAATCAGCAACAATTTTAATATTTAATCATATTTTAAGCAAAAATGCTTAAAATAGAAAAATACAGCTTCTGCAAAGTAATTATTTGCTGGTTTTCAGGTCTTCTATGATAGTAATTTGAAGATCTTTGGGTTTTGGACTTTAGGTCAGACAAAACATGACATTTGAAGACATCACCTTGGCCCAAGTGATGGTCACTTAAAACCATTTTCTGACATTTACTAGACCAAATGATTCATCAGTTGCTTGAGAAAATAATAGACAGATTAAAAATTAACTTTTTGTCTAATAGTTTCCAATTATTTTTCTGTCAATCAACAAATTGATTAATTGAAGAAGAAGATACACAAATCATAAACTAGAAGTCACACAATGAGGTTTTAACAGGCAAACTTCGCAACATAACACAGTCAGAAAGCATCACCAAGCATGACTGTGCTCAACTCAGGAATGGGGCAAAATTAAACAGAATTATAATACGAACTACTGGTGAAGTACTACACGTACTGTATCAAAAAATCAAAAACTTTAATACAGACTCAAGGCCCAAATCTTACCCACAACAATACATAAAAACATATCCACAAATGCACATGCATACACACATACCTATACATAACAAAATACCATAGTAAATCAAGGTTAGAAAAATAAAAA